GGGCCCCTTTTCTCCGGGAGGGCCAGCGGGCCCCGTGGCTCCTTTTTCTCCAAAAGCGCCAGGAGGCCCGATAGGCCCAGGGCCAGCCGACCCCATGCACATGGCCCCCTTTTGTCCCGGAGGGCAAGTGGGCCCCATGGCCACCTTTTCCCCAGGAGGACCAGGAGGCCCGATAGACCCAGGGCCGACCGGCCCCATGCACATGGCCCCCTTTTGTCCAGGAGGGCCAGCGGGTCCCATGGCCCCCTTTTTACCGGGAGGACCAGGAGGCCCGATAGACCCAGGGCCAGCCGGCCCCATGCACATGGGCCCCTTTTCTCCAGGAGGACCAGCAGGTCCTATTGGTCCCATTTCTCCCGGAGGGCCAGGTGGTCCCACGAAACCCGGGAGTCTGTGCAATCCTGATCGGAATAAAAGACTTGTTTTATTTTCATAAGGCCACACCAATTTAAATTCAGAATCAACTGCAAAATGCTCATATTTTGCCCTGAACAGTTGAAAACAGTCCTTTTCATCTTAGTTGTTACAGTTATTCCATCTTTCAATGCAATGGTACCATTAAAAGTTCAAAATTCATTGTTTAAATTTTGAACCAGCCTGGTGTGTTGACTTCATGGCTCCTATTGTACCATTTTGGGCCATAATACGATGCCTAGGCCTGTTTTTATTTTTTATTTTTTTTCGCCCGCCCGCTCCATTATTTTTCTAGAAAAATCCGTTAACCAAGAAATTAAATTGGTGTGGCCTAAAGAAGATTCCCAGAACCCACGGAATTTCACCTTTCAGTAATGACTTAAATCATAGCATAGTACAGCTAAGGGAAAATGAATAATAATCCTACAATTATGATTGTTACATTATTTTACTTACGGGTTAGCTCGGCTAGACGCAGTTCTGTCTTCCTGCTCAGCTTGAAAATATCTTCAGAATTCGCTCGGCTTTTAACTGTTTACATAAGAACAGGGTGTACTAAGTTTATAAACACACAGGAGAGACAGGGTCTGACATAGTGACCGTCATGAGGGACAGGGGGTACTTGAGTGACTTTATCTGCAGATAGACGAAATTTGATCACATGTAAGTCTAGTAAACCTTTGCCAATGTCATAGACACTTTCAATCTACTTATGTCATTCCATACGACTCTATATCTACGTACTTAGGCCACTTTATATGCAGTGCTTTACAAAAGAGAATAACGCTCATTCATTCATTCATTCATTCATTCATATCAAACGTACATCACGGATTTAAATCCGGAATAATGACGGTGATGTTGATGATGATAATAACCATCTTTCATATAAAAAACTTTAGGCCCAAACAAATCTATTGGTAGTAGATATGGTGACTACTGTACTTAATGTAATACGCCACCAAAATAACTGCCATGTCTCGGATCCACAGGACAAAAGATACAAAAAAAGGTTCTTATACAGTATTAGGATAACTAAGATGTTGTACTATGTTTCTACTATGTTGTAATTATGTCATTTTAATTGTTTGAGCCTTGGAAGATTAGCCCTTCGGGGCTAAAAGGTTTCGAAATAAATGTAAATGTAATGTAAGATAACTTATTTCATGTTATGTCTGACCCTTACCTCTTTCCTAGGTGAAAAGCGGCCTCTAGGCCGATTTGAGCTTCTCATAGATAAAGAATGGTTCAAACAAACAAACAAACAAACAAACAAACCTGCTAAATATGGCAGCAGAATGACATTGACGACGACCAAAAAAACGATGGTGATTTGCCACATCTTCTTGCACAGGCCCCAACATTTCTTCCGTACGCTGTTAGCCTCTGCAGCGTAAGTCGCATCTAATTGAAGAAACACCTTTGAGTTTACACTATTTATGCGTGTGTGTG